AAACAACTGCACCTCCCAGTCGCGAACCATTTCAACTCCCCCTCCCATTCCTCAGACGACATGTCCATCCTGGGCCTCCTGCAGTGCCACAACGATGCCACCCGAAGGTTGCAGGAACAGCAACTCATATTCCGCTTGGGAACCCTGCAGCCCAATGGTATCAATGTGGATTTCACAAGTTTCAAAATCTCCCCTCCCCCCACCGCATCCCAAAACCAGTCCAGCTCGTCCCTGCCTCCCTAACCTGTTCTTCCTCCCACCTATCCCCTCCTCCCACCTCAAGCCGCACCTCCATCTCCTACCGACCAACCTCATCCCACCCCCTTGACCTGTCCGTCCTCCCTGGACTGACCTATCCCCTTCCTAACTCCCCACCTACACTCACCTTTCCTGGCCCCATCCCCGCCTCTTCGACCTGTTTGTTTCTTCTCCACCTATCCTCTCCTCTATCCCTCTTCTATCCGCCTCCCACTCTCTCCCTATTTATTTCAAAACCCCCTTCCCCTCCCCCTTTTCTGATGAAGGGTCTAGGCCCGAAACGTCAGCCTCTCTGCTCCTATGATGCTGCTTGGCCTGCTGTGTTCATCCAGCCCTGCACCTTGTTGTCTCGGATTCTCCAGCATCTGCAGTTCCTACTATCTCAGAAGTCATCCATGTTCTATTTTAAAAGTAACATACTTCTGTCAATCATTTTGGAGTTTGGGATTGCATGGGGCAATGATAAATGGAATATTCTGACTGCTGGATGGTTTTCCACAGCAATGGGTAGAAAGACACAATTATAAATTTTAGCTGCAGTCAGATTCTGAGGATTTTTGCATCAGCTCTTGGCAGCCACTTTGAGGTCATGCTCTAGCTGGAGGTTTTGGACCATGAAGGTCATTCCAATGACCCCAGGGCAAGACTCAGGAGAGAAGGTGGAGGGGGATGGCAAAGGGACTTCTGCGTCAAGGCATGCTCAACTTCTCCTGTATCATTTTCATTAAATACTTAAAGTGTATTAATGAGCAGAAACATGCTTTATAGGGCTCTAGCCAACTTGGTAACACTGATTTGCGGCTTGATTCTCATTGAATGTGCTTCTGAGCCTTAGTGAAACTGAGTTCTGGAAGCCCATTAAAATTATCTGTTTACTTTACATTGAACTCGTACCAATGCTGAGCTGCATACTTCAGTTTTGGTTTGGAAATTTAAAAACTATTTAAATATTTAATCCCCTTGTTTAAAAAAAAATCAAGTGTTACATCAATGTAAATTAAAGTGAATGAGCAAGTGTATTCTGTAAATGCAATATCTTTAAGTGAAAGATAAGTGGTTTTGTTTCACCTCTGCAAACAGTTTGATTTGTGTTGAGGCATGTACAGGAATCAACTTGCAGTTGCCTTTGTGGCAATAAAAGAGATGATCTGGATTTATACAGCAAAATGTGTGGATCTCATTTGCTTTTAAGTGAACAACATTTTATGCTTTCAGCATGGTTTCATGTCTGAAATCAATCCCAAACATGATATAGTGTAGAAGATGTTCAGCTCTGATCTCCCAAAGCTGTGGAGATACAAAGCTGTTTTCTTTAATTCCTTCCAAACTTCTTTGCCTTGATCTGTCCTATATGTAGTAATTTAGTTGGCATAATCTGCTGGATTTTTTTCAATTTTTTAACCTTTTGTTTTTGAAAACAATCTTCTAAACAGGTTACTAGTTGGTGCTCCAAAAGCAGAAGGACTTCCAAAGCAACAAGCTAGTATTACGGGAGGGTTGTACAAATGCCCCATTACAGCTGAAGAAAATGACTGTGTGCGTGTCATTTTTGATGACAGTGGTAAGTATTGTCGTGCTAAAATAAGTTCACTAACAAGGAAATCAAATCATACGGACAGATCAAGTGAAAATGCCTAAGACCAAATGCTGCTGGTTTGTAGCCGATGTTTTTGACCACTTGCCATGCTGAAAGTCATTTTACAATTTTCCAGGTATTGTAACAAACCATATGCAAATTAACAATAGCCAATTTTTTTGGAATAAACAGCAATCCACAGATCAATCCCATGCTTCGTTGGCAGGTAAAGGTAGTGTTGGTGAAGTTTTGTGCGTACAGTCAGCTTTCTCTTTCCATGACTGTGACATTAAGGGACCTTAGGAAAAAAATGCTTCTGAATCTTCAGGACTCTTAATTGTTCCATTGATTTGAGATTGCTTATTCAGTTTATTAGACATGCTGTAATTCTGAATGAAGTCTTTAATCTTTTTAAATTTGTGCTTTAATGAAGTGAAATGTGAATTTGACTTTTTTTGGAAAAAGGAATGGAAAATTTTGGAGATTTCTTCCATGAGGAAATGATTGTTTTTTTTTTACTGATTTTACACGCAAATAAAACCTAGGAATTTAATATTGAAAATAATTAAACGCTGACTTTAAATTCTCATGCTTTTCTTTTCAATCTGTTGGTGCAGTTCAAATCACTTGACTGCAATTATTATCACCTTTTGGATCTTTCCTGCCTAGAAGTTACATGAAGCATTTAACTGTTTCAGCTCAACAGTACTCTGATTTATTTTCAATCTCATTTAATAATTCATTCATGTTTCCAAGCTTCAATAACTGTAAACGACATTGAAAATTAAACAGTGGCAGCATATGTAACTAGCAAATCTCACAGTATAAACAAAAACGAGGGAGATTTATCTGAGCCTTGTACTCAGACACAGTGAAACACCAAAGCTCAATAAACACTAGAGAACTGGTGAGCCAGAACACCTGTAAAGCAGTCTGCTTAGTTCCCTTTCCATTTTTGATTTTGATTTGATTTATTATTGTCACATATGTCAAGATACAGTGAAAATTATTGTTTTGGGTGCTATCCAGAGAAATCATGCCTTATGTAATTGCATCATGGTATTAGAACAGAATGCAGAATTTAGTGTTACAGCTACAGAGAAGGTGCAGAGAATGGAGGAAATTCTGGTAGTGTCTAAACGGTGTGAGCTCCAAACCACCCAACTTCCCAATACTTGCTGTACCCAGGTACATTAATGGTTGCAGATGCAGAAGGTAGTCTCAAATGTATTTTGCACCACCATTTTACTATCTAGTCTTATGTTTAGAAATCTAGCTTTGGCCCATATTCACAACTTCTGTATTTAGCTAAACTGGGGATGGATTTATCTGCAGCTAAATTTAAAAGCATTTGCCTTTTCATTTGATCTAAAGAAAAATCTATCAAGCTAAAACAAAGACAAAAATACTTCATTTGACTTAAGGTTCCTCCCTTTTTTGGATTCTATGAATCCAATCAGTCAGGTGTTAATGTATTTCAAATCTGCATTTATCAGAATGATAATGCTATTACAGTTTTGGTTTTGGGAATGAGATAACATTGGACCATTTTGTACTCTTACATGACACTGCTCTAAAATAGTAGATTAACAATGTTGCCAGAAGTTTACAGTCTTTTAATGTGAGTACAGTGTTCAAAAAAAAAAAATGCAGTCTTTCAAATCTAATTGTAGTTTCTACACCAGCAGCTGATTCTGAACTGTTCTATTTCCTTGGAATAAACCACGTTTTTTGTGGCAGTAACCTGCAGTTGGATTTTTTTTGAAGATCATGTGGAAATCACATGATAAAAAGTAGTCAGCAAAGTGGGAATTGAGTGAAAATGGTGCTTTGAAAATGATGATTTGGCTTGAGTGAGAATGTAGTAAAAGAGAAGTGAATGGAGATTGTTTGTTTGTTTGTTTGTTTGACATTTGTTGATGAAGAAGGTAAATTTATAGTAAAGGTAGCACAACAGGAAGAAACAGTAATGCATGTTTCCTAGAGGAGGTAGAAGTTTAGCATACTCAGTCTTAACTTGGTTATTCATATTTATGGAAAGAAAGCATCTACTTGCATCTACAAGTTGCAGAGGAAAGATCATTAAATAGATTAAAATGGCACCAGAACAAATAAGCTGGTTTGTAGGTGACTGGGGGGTAAAATTAGTGAATCTTGGAAATGGTATAGTCTTTAGAGGCTGGAGAGTATTGATTTGTTGAAGGTTAAAGCATTGGATAGTGCCTTTTGCAGTCCACACTAAGAGTCCCGGATGCTTTGTGACCTCCCAAATATTTGGTAAAGGGAATTATTGAAAGATCACCAACTAGAGGAAAAGCCTCAGTCCTGTAGGAGTTTAAGAAATTGGTGTTGGCTGTAACACAGAGCAAGGATGACATTTTCTCAGGGCTGTGAGTTTCAGGGTTCATGTGACAGGGAAAGCTGATTTTTTTGAAACATATTTTATTGGATGGAGTCTTTTGCCTAAGGTGGGGGATTTCAATACTAGGGGCCATATTTTTAAGGTGAGAGGAGAAAGATTTTAAAAAAGTCGTGAAGGGCAATTTTTTTTTCACAGTGGTTCATGCGTGGAATGAATTTGCAGAGGAAGTAGTGGATGCAGGTGCAGTTACAAAGTTTAAAAGACGTTTGGATATGTACAGGAATAAGAAATGTTTGGAGGATATAGGATAATTGTAGGCAGGTGGGACTAGTTTAGTTTGGAATTATGGTTGACATCGACTGGTTAGAGCGAAAGGTCTGTTTCTGTGCTGTGTGATTCAGTGACTCTATACATCTTTAAGACTATTGAGATTAGCTCCTGTCAGTCATTAATGACAAGGCTGTTGCACTTCAAGGACAGCTTCAGGTTATCTTTGAAGCTTTTGTTTGTCCTCACCTGAAAAGTCAGGGTGGGAGCTGCTGCCAGCTCCTTGGAAGGATGTGGATATGGAGTGAATGGAATATGACCGTAGGAGCAGCAATAATGTCGGTAGTAGTTAACCCCATGGATCTGAGTTAAATGCAACTCCAAAAAGATTTGCTTGTGCCTCATGGCAAACCTGACAGCTGTATATTAATATGCGTAGAATTGTTCAGGCTTGCTGCAATACATTTTTAAAAAGTTGCAAACCTGGACAGCCAGGCTCCTTACCAGACCATTTAATTGGCAGTGATCTTGTTTTCCACTAACTCCCCCTACTGACCTTTTGAAAATTCAAAACTATTCAGGAGGCAAAAGGTTCTTGCAATGATAAATGTGAGAACTATTTTAAATTCCCACTTGCTCTGGATCCTGATCCAGTGACCTTTCGAAAGTCTGAACCCATACGTCTGGGAGCGTACAGAAGAACATACTTGAAAATTTTGAGGTTGTTCTTGTTTGGGGAGAAGGGAACAGACTGATTTATTTTATAGTGAAGCAGTTTTCAGTAATTGAAAAGATACATATCATCTGCTAATTTATTTTGATTATATGTGGGTAATTTCTTTTAACTTGGATCCTGTGAAATGGCCAGAAACACAAAGTAACCTAAAGAGACTGACTTATGCATAGCCTGCATGGGAATATATGGCTTGCCATGGCGTAAGAGATATTACTAGGACATTTAGATTGATAGGGAGCATCGAATATAGGATCAAATGTAAGCTTTAGGACATTTTGCAGAAAGATTTCTTTTTAAATATAGATGGTTGTGAGCCTATAGAATGCATCACCAGAGTTAACAATTGTAGCATATTTAGAAAAAGGTTAGATAGGTAGTGAATGGAACAGAATAAAAGAATACAAGAAGAAGCTGTGTGTGTGTGAGTGTGTGTGAGTGTGTGTGAGTGTGTGTGAGTGTGTGTGAGTGTGTGTGAGTGTGTGTG